CTGCTGAGCTGGTGTAACTTCTGATGTGTTGGCTGGATATACTTGATGTTGTAGTCCTAGCACATTTGAAGGCCAATAGGTTGGAGCAGAGCTTTAAGCTTGTGGGTTTTACAAGCAGATAGCTGCCTCAGCATAGCACAATATAAATACAACTTTGTGACCTGAAATACAGCTAAAGTGCTAAGATGGTTGTGTGCAAATGCAACAAATAGATGTCTGCTCTGGTGAAGGTACTGAATATTTTATTAAATACAGCAGAACACTTTTGCACATGTTGTTATTTGAAGCACACATAACAGCTGGAAGATGTAGACTGAGATTCAAAGCAGGACATAAATTCTCTATGTTAATTTTTTCAGAGATTAGGATATATGAGTTTTACTGAGGAATCTGTGATGCTGGTTTTCCAGTAGACTCTGCACAGAATGCACATAAATGCACAGAAGGTTAGACACCTATAATTTTCTTATTTCATATGCAGTATTTGCAAAATTGAATGATACAAAATCTATTAATTACAGATTCCTTCACGCTAAAGAAGAATTGAAGCAACTTCAGCTTCCCGGGTTCATGTACAGTGATGTTTCCAGACTAGCATCTTCCATACCTTATTTCAGCACAGAAAACGAAGAAAATTCAGAAGATGGAATACATCTCATTATCTGTGTGCATGGCCTAGATGGTATGCTGTGGCAGCTGACCATAAATTAGTAAACATTTGAAATGCTAGATTACGAAGTTTAAATGTAAGAACGTTTAATCTGTATAGGTCAAAACATAAGCAAATTTCTAATTAACAGTAATCAAAATGCTAATTTGAAAACACTCAAATTAGTATTTTGATTTAATCATTGCTAATTAGGAAACTGCTTAATTGTATCTGAATGTATAAATAAGTTGTGAAGTGGACTCCAGGAAGAATTTATTCTTACATTTTACTTTATTAAAGCAGCCCTGCTGAGTTGGTGTAACTTCTGATGTGTTGGCTGGATATACTTGATGTTGTAGTCCCAACACTTTTGAAGGCCAATAGGTTGGAGCAGAGCTTTAAGCTTGTGGGTTTATGTTTGATGTTATCCTTGCATTACATGAAATACCAAGTATTTTCTTTTTAAATAAACACATGCAGTTATCTAAATTTCTTGTTCTCAGCATGGCAGTAAATACATTTACGTAAGGCCAGTGTTAAAACAGTGCACGTGTCCAATTGTTCATGGAAAGTCATTGTCATAAGACACTATTAAAGCACATTGTGCATGTTGTATTTTAGGTGCCATTAGGTGCCTTGAGTATTTAGTTGCATAGGAAGGTGTGATACAAATCAAATAAATGAGCAAAGGACTAATTATAACTTTAGCTTTTAAGTGTTGATATTTTAAATGCACATTTGTGCCATAAGCTATGTAGCAATTATTAACTGAAACAAAGAACAGTCTTCAATTCCTTTAAAACAGAACTATTTATCACTACAAAAGCCTTTTTGGACTAGAGGATACTTTTTGTTAGGATGCTACTTTATTAAAACTCTATGAATTAAAATATTATTTTCTATTTCAAATGCAGACAAATAGAAAATATTTTCTTTTAATTCATAGCATTTTAACTATAAGGTGAGTCTTAAACCAAATGAATTTCAATTTACATTTCTAGTGTTAGATGTATTTATTCTAATTTAAATGTGTTATTTTCTGCAAGTAAATCTTTCTAATAGCTTCTCTTTTCCTTTATTTTAGGTAATAGCGCAGATTTAAGATTAGTAAAAACTTACATTGAACTTGGTCTTCCGGGAAGTCGTATAGATTTTCTGATGTCTGAGAGAAATCAGGTAGTTGCACCCAAGAATTACTGATTAATTTATAATACCTCAACTAGAGATATCTTATTTAAATTAATTTATATCTGAACCTTGCTGGACCCCCTCCCAGTGGTCTCATGTAGATATTAAAGAGGAGAGACAAAAGTTCCAAGCCCTGAGGCGCACGCGCGCACACACACACACACACACACACACACTGCAGGGGCCTAGGGCTTGATCTGTTCCACTCCCAACTGGTATTGGCTACACAGAAAGGAAAGAATGCCCGCCCCCACTTCCAACTCCCAGAGCCCATCTAGAAGGATACAGTGGTCAAAGGTATTAAAAACCGCTGAGAGATCCAGGAGGGATAGGACATACATGACCAGTGCAATCTCAGTGCTGTATCCTGGCCTGAACCTGACTGAAAAGTGTTCAGTATCTCTCATCCCTTCCACGCCGGCTAGGAGTTGTACTTTGCAACATTTAGAGTGCCGGAATCTTTACTTTTTAGCCTTACAATATTTTGCTTGGGATCAAGTCAAAAGTTTGCTTTTCAGACATCAAACATTAAACAAGCTACAGTTTATTTAACCTTGAATTGTTGAATAAATTGAGTGTGCATAATACGTTATGGTTTGTGTAATATCACATGCTGTGTGTACCAGGCTTTAGTCTTTACTTTTTTAAGCAGTTATAATTGTTCTATTGTTTGTTTATTTATTTATTTATCAGTCAAATTTATGTAGCCACCCATCTCACACAAAGTGACTCTGGGTGACATACAACAATTAAATAAAAACAGCAAATAGATAAAAAACAAGATATGGTGGTTTAGTTTGATTCCATTCAGTTCCAGTCCACTCCACTCCATTTTGGTGCTATCTGACACCAAATCAACTCTGGGTGGCTCACAAGATAAGAACAAAATATAAGAAGATAAGAAAGATCTTATCTTCTTATATTTTATAAGATAAGAAAAGTACAATAAGGGAAGTAACAAACAGGAATTAACAGAATGAAAATCCACACAACTCACATCAAAACATACAAAATATGATGCTTCTAACAACGGGGTTCCAAGGCCTGGGAGAACAGCAAAATCTTTAAGGCCTTACCAAATGGTGTCATGGTGGGATTCATCTTGATCTCAGAAGTGGATCTCATTTTGTCTTACTGTTGTCTCGTTCTGTCTAGTTTAATACTTTCCTGGGAATTATCACTGTTTTTTCTTGTTGCTTTCCATATTCCTGTAGTTTACTAATGATGTATGCTTATCATAAAACAATTTTGTATAAGAACCCTGAACTTTTTCCCCACAGAATGACACATTTGCTGATTTTGATTCAATGACAGATCGCCTTTTGGATGAAATAATCCAATATATTCAAATTTACAACCTAACAATTTCAAAAATCAGGTAATTATTTTGTTATAGGTTAATTTTCATAAATTCTGGAACAAATAACACCAACTTGAAATGTATTCATAATTGTAGATTTTTTTAAATTGAACTATGATTAACAAACATTATCAAGTAACTAAATAACATAAATCCATGATGCATAGAGAAAAAGATATAGAAAATACAAAACATCTATTAAAAAGTAAGTAGAGACAGGTATTATATACATACAAATCTATTATACATCATATTGCCATATTATAGTTTATTGTTATTGAGGTAAACTATAAAATCCATCCAAATTTAGAATTGTAGATAGAATTGTAGTTCCTACCTCTGATGTTTCATTATTTTAACTTTATCTGTAATTTTGTTTTTCTAATGTAGCAGTTGAAGAGGCCTTATTAATCCACATCTCAATTTTATGTTATCTAGAGTTTTCCAATGTTGGGCCATTATTATTTTAGCTGCTGATAATTGTGGATTTTCTGAAAATAAACAAACAACACTGAGAAGAAAGTATTAAACTAGCAGTTTTCCAATGGATTGGATCCACATCTTTAAAAATACTTTTGGATTGCAATTTAGAGGTGCCCAAAACATTTTGAGTTATCCCCAGTGTACCAAAAGTGGCCAATTTCAAAACACTTGGAATGCAGCTTGCTGAGTGGAACATTTTTACTTCAGAAAGTTTTGAACATCTCTACTGCATTGGTAGCCTACCAGGCACTGGAGACATTGTCCCTCCACCAGTGAATTTCTTGTGGCCTTGGGCAACCTTCATACAACTCCATGAGTGGCTTTGCCACAAGGAGCTGTTGGAAAACTCTGAAATGGGTGTTTCAGGAGCAAAAATCAAAAAGTTAGGTCCCTCAGATATGCCAGCTTTTCTTTTTATTTTGTCCTGGGTTGAAAAGAAGCTCTAGGATTTGTCTTTAGTTACAAAAATGGGCCTGCTTGTTAAACTATATTTCATTCTTTAATATGCCAATATTTATCAGAAATTTTTGTCAAAAATTGTTTTTAAACGGTGATTATTATTTTAGATGCTTTTTTCTGGATAATAATAAGTCACTATAAGGAAGATTTTATTTCAAAAACTGGGATTAAAATTTCTTAATACATAAAGAGTAATTGAAATAATAGAGCACATTCTGTCTTGAAAAAAAAGAGTAATGTGTACCCTTCAGTAAAGATACAGTGAAAGTTTTGGTAAGAGTTCTGTAGTTATAAAATTAGAGATCTAAGAAGATGTGTTGACTATCTTGGTGATAAGGTTTTTGATAATAGGTTCAGGATATGTGTAACACCCTATATAATTAACTTGAATTCACTGTTATAAATAATGAATAGCTAGTGCTAGAAAACTTTTAATAGGAAACAGAAGTAACAAGGAGTAAAGACGCAGCTGTCACACTCTGTAAACTAAGACAGTATTGATAACCAGTGCCACTGTGAAACAATAGGGAAGTACTCACATTCTTGGATTATTTGGGACTAAAACAATCCTTAGAAAAATATGTGTAGTAGCCACAACACTGAAAAAAAAAATTAAATTGGCAACTGAACTGGGGGCAGATGGCAGAGATGTAAGAATTCGATGGACTAATTTATTGGGCTGGTTAAAAACATGAATAGGGGCTCTCTAGTTACATCAAGATAAACTCCAGTAAGGATTGTAAGTGCTCTTTGAAGTGGCTATTAATCTCAAATATCAAATGAAGCTTAGGATGTAGTACATCTCTGAAAATTAAATGCTACGAACAAGGATAGGCAGTTTCTGTGTCACCTACAACTTACTGTTCTAGTGCCTTCTCAAATGAAGTTCCATAGTGTGTAATGGAAACTGTAGAAGGAAAATAGAGAAATGATCACAGGTTAATGGAATACTGTGGAAAGCTTGGAAACCGCTGATAGCCAAAACATGCTCTGCCTTAGAATTTTTGTTCACACCCCCTCATTAATGTGATTATGGTCTTTCATAAATTGCATGATTGTTATAGGCATGTGCCAGAAAACAGCATTTATTGCAAAACAAAGTTAATGTGCCAGGTTTCACTTGCTAATGTATTAAAAAGTATTTTTCCAAATCTCACACTCTTTTTTTCTTTTTTGTTCAGTTTTATTGGACATTCACTAGGTAATTTAATAATCCGTTCAGTGCTCACAAGACCTAGGTTTAGGTATTACCTCAGTAAACTTTATACCTTCCTATCTCTGTCTGGACCACATCTTGGTACGCTGTACAACAGCAGTGCTCTTGTTAATACAGGTAAAAAATTAGATTTCATATCCATTTTCAAAGAAAGGTTGGCTTGTTTTAATCTTTTTAAAGAATATAATTTTCTTCAAATGATTAAAGTTTGAGCAAATATTTCTAGTATCCATTAAAAATGCACAGGATGCCTCACTATTTAAATAATCAGAAAGAATATACTGAAGTAGGAAGAAGCAACCAGATGTTTTGAAGCACAAATCCTGTAATTGTCAGCTATTAAGGTCACTGGTTAGGGGTAACATGAATCATTGTTCAAATATCTGGAAGGCACCAGATTGCCTACTTCTGTATTAAAGAACATATGATCTAAAGTAATGTTTAGTAAATTTAAGTATTCTAATTCTGATTTTGAATTGATGGAGCTAAAACATTTCAATTAAATGTACAAATTTGGGTATTCATGTTTCTGTATCACCTTTCGATATCAAATCGGTTTTTTTACATATGTTATCAGTTTTTAAAATAATATAAGGGGAAAAGCCAATAAAATCAATGCAAGTATATATAAACAGAATACAACATAAAGAAAAATGCTAATACTTCTGTGGAACAAGATCACTTTAATTTGCTATAAGAGGGAGCAAAGAATAATACTGTTATCCCAAAGGGATCACCAGGATCAACTGCTTTTCCTGGAAGTCACTTTGATTAGTACCTGAAGTAGAGCTTCACTGATACATTCCCAAAATTCAGGAGATTTGATATGGGATGAGCTGTTTCCTGAGATATTGACCACTGAACCCCAATACTTTCTGGGAACTGTTCAAAATAATTGCTATTCTGTTTTGTCATTGAGGATTTGCTTTTAAGACTACAGACTGTACAATATTTAATCAATTGGCTAAAAAACAGAAGACCAATGTACTAAAGAACGTTTAAATTGTCTTTAACATATATATGTCTTCAGTGAAAGTTTTGTCTATTGATATGTTTATTCATTTGATGTGTGTGTTTATAATTTTAATTCATACATGTTAGATAAGCAAATGGAGTAGAACATTCTTAGGATGTACAGAGTTAACACTAATTAGAAAGTTATTTAAAGAATTATTTCTATAATTATGCTTTGTGTATTCACATGTAATATATGCAAAAATATAGGTCTCTGGTTTATGCAGAAGTGGAAGAAGTCAGGATCTTTGCTACAGTTGACCTGTAGAGATCATTCAGACCCCCGGCAAACCTTCTTATACAAACTTAGTAGAAAAGCAGGTAAGCTGTACCAACATCTTTAAAAGCATTAATTTTTAATGAACCATGTGGTTTCATTTATTCATCAGGGTATTATAATGGGGCAACTTGGGCTGCCAATTATTTTCCCATAATTAAACTTCATAACCTTGGTATTGATGACTGCCAGAAAAGCCTAATTCTTCCTATTCTCCTCCCTTATGTGTGCCTTAGTTTAGTCATAGAAAGAGGGTAATGGTATCTCGGCATTTGTTACATCCCTAATAAAATAACTATTCATTTAAGGGGTTTTTTTTAGGGAAGGGGATTGTCTGTTTTCTTTTTGGCCTATTAACTGAATTCCTCCAGATTGTAACTGTTGCTATGTTTGTGTGTGTTGCTTAATATTTACAATTATTGTCTTTTCACAGGTCTTCAGTATTTCAAAAATATAATATTAGTAGGATCCCTGCAAGACCGTTATGTCCCTTATCATTCTGCCCGCATTGAGATGTGTAAAACAGCTTTGAAAGATAAACAGACAGGTATTAGCTAAAACATAGATATTTGTGAAACAGTAACTGTTCATTATTTAGAAAATATTCAGGAGAATATGTAGATAAACCTTGAATAATGTCATTCTAGGGCAACAGGTCAATGTTAATGAAGCATATGAAGTAGAAGCTACACACAGACAAGTGCCTGGATTATGTAAGAGGGAAACCTATTGTTACACACATCAGATGGCACCCTTTTGGCATGTGTAAATCTTCTTTATATATATATATATATATATATTTATCCATTTATATGGCTGCCCATCTTGCAATAGCAATTGTGGCCAGCTGAACTTAAAGTTGAAAACACAATTACAATAATCAGTAATACAATATTACACAAATACGACAACTCCTATTTCCATACCTGATTCTGTAATGTTGAGTTTTCTAAGTAGGGCTTATATAATCTGGGGACTGCCTGTATTAAAAAACAAAACAAAACAGTGCTTTAGAAGTCTATTTAATGAAAAATAATGTGATGCTCCCCCAAACTTTTAAGAAATAAAAACTTACCTGTATATTTTTTTCTAAAGGAAAGGAAGTTATTTTTGTCAACAAAATATTTTTGAGAGGATTACTTATCATTATTTTCTCATAGTATCATTAATGCTGTTTTTCAAGTGCTCCCATATCTGTTTGCTTTTGGGACTGCTTACAGTCCCAATCGCATGGACGTTGCAGTTGGGACTAAAACTTAACGGATAAGCAAACTACCATCTTTGTTCACTAAAAAAACAGTAAATTTCAAAAGATGTTCTTTGCAATGTTTTGTACATTTGCCATTAATGAACCCAGGTTTAAAAATTAGCTATAAATATTCACTGTTTTCATTCTTGCCCTTGTAACCCTCCTCCCCAAATCTCGTAGTCTCTTATTCAGATTGGCCATCATATTTCTGTATTTTGGAAGCTATTTTATGCTTAAAATAGTAGTTATTTTAAAAGCATCAGTGGTCTTTCTTTATGTACATATGTACAGATCTGCCATCTATATGACCTTTCTTGTGTGCTTGTTTAACTTTTGAAGCCCTGCTTACTATCCTTTGCTTGACTGAAATACAGCAAATATTTGGCGGGTGGTGGTTCTTTTGAGGTTTTTTAGTATAGTACTTTATGGAATATCCTTTGTGGGGGTGTTCTTAACTTCTCTGTTGCTTTTATTCTATGAGTCAATGCAAACATGGCATTTTAAAGCAGATATTAAAGCTAAAGTAAGTAGTTAGTATAGTTGTTGGCTAATTATGGGCTGAGACTTTTTTGCTCGGTATATTTATAAATGGGTTTCAACTGATGCATTTAAACATAGTGTTTGCTTGGTTAATTGCATGATAGAAAGGAAATACATAAAATGCTTAATAAGTAATGCAGATTCTTCTTTTAATGTACAGGACCAATATATGCTGAAATGATCCAGAATCTGCTTCTGCCTGTTCTTCAAAGCAAGGACTGCAGTTTAGTTCGATACAATGTGCATTGTGCACTGCCAAACACAGCTGATTCTCTCATAGGAAGAGCTGCACACATTGCTGTTCTGGATTCGGACATATTTTTAGAAAAGTTTTTTCTGGTTGCTGCCCTAAAATATTTCCAGTAGGAATAAAACATTGTAACAGACTTGGTTATTACCTCATTAACAGATAAATAATGTGTGATATTAAACTGTAGTTGCCGCGGTATTTTAAGAGATATTTATACTTTTTTATATGGAAGATAATTTATATCATCCATGTGAAGAGCTTTTTTAACATCAACTTTACTTTCTAGGTATGTGGCTGTGCAATATTTTTTAATGGTTTTTTTTTCAATTTTTTTATTTTGGGTACCTAATTATTTCAGAACAGATTTAAGCACAGTTATGTGCAATTGATGGATTTAGACTGCAAATGTTATATGACTACATTTTTATGTGTCTTTAGATGCCAAAAAACCTGAATTTTAATGTCTAAGAAGGTATTAATTTGATAGAGTATCTTTAGTATTCTAAAAAGCTGAACTGGAAAACAAACTGCTGGCTGCTAAAATAACTATAATAACTATAGGTCTGTTCAAGACCACTATTTTGAGTCACCTGTTTGTTACATCACTACATTCAAAGTGAACTGTTTTCTACAGAATCATTACTGAACATACTCTGCCTGTGGAAACTACATTTTTCTGCTGATCTCAATAGAATATTAGTTTACATTTTCACCTTTATTACTGGAATGTTAGTTTTCATAAGCAAGCAGTAATTAAGGATTTTTGAATGTTGAAATGTGAGCTGCCTTCAGGTGGAGTTTTGCAAAATTTAATAAAATTGCTCTTTCTATTGGTTCAGTTCTTCAGTGAACCTTTTACATGGGACTTCCTTGTATGTACATTTTTAAAAAGTAAACATTATAAATTTCTGCAACACTTTTATGAATGTAAATTTTTAAATATTAAAATTTATTGACAAATTATTGTAAATAGAAATCAGTTGCATCTTGAAATGGAACAAAATGCTAAATTTTTGTGATAACTGATTTTTTTTTAATATCCAAGAACGTTAAAAGTCTGTTGAATTCTTACTGGTGTTGAACAGTAGTGAGTTCAATATTCATCCCTTTTCACCTTTTTTCAGGCAGAATGCTTTTAAAAGGGGAAAAAAACTTTTTCTGCAATTGTAACAAACAGTTTTTCAGAAAATACAGTTTTGTAGTATATCTAATGCATGTTTATTTTCTAGCATTGTGTTATTGCATCTGGTGTTAATAAACTCAAAAAAATATATAATAGAGAGAGAAAGCAAGGTTTTGCTTTTTCCAGATCCTGAGAATAATATATGACCTCACATAGAGCTTGATAACATATTGAATATTATTTAATTTGACAGTTTTTCATTGCAAACTGTCCATATGTGCTATTGGTTTAAAATCTTGCATTTTCTAATTGTTTGAATATTGTTTGAGGGTAGTTGATGTTAATTCTGTGGACTGATGTGCAATGGCTTGTAACAGTGTGTTACTAAATTTTACTAAGCAAGACTTGCAAATAATTACTGCTGCTTGACCATTTCACCTATTGCACTAATAGCCCAATCTGTGATTATTTCTCAGAAGAAAATCCCTTTGAGTTTTAAAGGAGTTATTTTTGAGTTAGAGTACAACAATAATCTTATCAGTGGCAATATTTACTAACAAACATAGATTCACAGAAATACTTTGTTCGTTATGCAATACATAAACAATTCTAAGATTGCACTATTTTTACTACTTGCTCTTCAAGAAGTAAAACCAACAATTCTCATTTTGAAAACATCCTAAAAAAAGATTAATTAGGCTTAGGCCTAGTTAATACATAAGAATGAGAAAGTAATGTAGAAGCAGTGGAATGGTCTTAATAACTATGTTAATGAATTCTTGGATATGTTTTCTTCTGCTTGCATTCCTTTTAGTTTCAATTTATAAGAGATTATAGTTTTAATAGAGGACATGGGAACCAACAATCTACTCATATTCAATTTTTTTCCATTATACTGTTAATTTTAAATTGATATAAAGGTTAATAGTGAATGTGCAGCTGTAATGGAAAATGTTATTTGCCTTGTTCAAAAGATTACTTAACAATAATCCATGAATGTTGATTATTATGCATGCAGCTATTACTGTGACTTGGGACAGAAAAACAAAATTTAATATAACTGAAACAATATAGCATGCTACTTACAAACTATTATAGAAACATGAACACCCTTTGCACTTAGCTTTCTAGTTATGTGAGGTAGTTGAAAACTTCCCATTGTGCCTGCGGCTAACTAAATCTGAAGTTTGACTAAAATATTTGCCTAAGGCTGTGATAAATTGTCCAACATTTTTTCAGATTGTTTGTGAAGTAGCTTGAGTTTACATTATTATGTGCTTTCAGTAATTCTAGATACACATCAGTTTCAGAAATATCAGCTGGTTTAGAGAGAAATGATAAGCACTGTAATGTAATAATGCTATGTGCCTGGTGAATCATTGCTAACAGCATCCATAGCAAGTGGATTAATCCCAAATCACAGCATGTGTGCAATGACATCACATAAATATTACCCTTATGTACTTGTGTCCCTGTGACTGATGCAAGTATATAAGTTGTGACATTTGCATATATGATGTCCTTCCCTACTCCTGGCTTTAATACAGTTTTTTTTTTTTTACCCAGAAGTAGGTTAGATAGGATAATATACTTGTATCAATATATCTGCCATTAAAATAT